TGCCCAGGCAGCAGCTGCATCTTTTGCACTACTATGTGCCTTAAGAGTGGTGCAATACTGTTCAAAACTCAAACCTACCTCAGTCAGGGGATTCTCACCCTTGAAGCACCCTTTTTTCCAGGGACATTTTCCCTTCTTCATTACCCATCTCTCTAACCTGCAGGGTTTCTCCTGCCTCAAACAAGAAGCTAAAGGGGTTTTTCCAGATATCTCCACTTCTCTTATCACGCTAATGATCACTATCAAAAAGCCTCTTTTACACAGTCACTTAGATTTCACACTGACACAGTATTACTCTACAATCTTAGTTCTAAAGTACACCTCTTAACTCTATAGCACAGTCTTAAAGTTATTCCAGCACAGTTCTTAACTTAAAAGTTACAGGAGGTTCTATAAAAGAGGGACCTAGCTGAAGGAGCTTGGTCTGATAAGAAAGAAAAAAGAAAAAGGAAAGAAAAAGGAAGATAAGGCTTTCAGTTGGTCGGTGCCTCAGTTTACCACTCTGCAGCAACTACTCTGCAATTACCACATGATTAGGGTCACATGCTGCCAGCCTTCTCCACCACTTTTGTTACCAGATTTACCCATCACTTTGGGGTGTGCTCATTTATTAGGGATATGTTTCTAGGGTCTTTGTAATTCTATCAATGTGCTGCTTGTGTACTTGTGTTTCCATATGGAGCTGTATATCTCCCTTCTGCAAGCCCTCGCCCCAAAAGGAGCTATCTTGCAGGACTTGGTTTCAATGGGGCTGGGTTCCTCCAGTCACCAAATCAGTCATACATACACAAACACACGCAGATTAACATGACACGCCTGACCTGGCTGGGTTGATCAGTATGGACAGGCTGCCACCCTCATATGCCAAGAATCAGTTCATTAAGGTAACAATAAAATGCAGTCAGACACAAGCACACAGGTGAACAGAATACCTCTGAATCCGGCTGGGTGTCCAGCTTACACCCTCATGGGCCAGCATTCAGTTCATTAGGGCATGTCTGAGCTGAACTGGGTCAATCAGCCTGTACAAGCTGATCCCCTTATGTGTTTCAAACTCAGCACGTCCCAATCTTTGGCCTCTTGATGAGCAGACCCCACAATATTTTTGGTCTTCACAGGGATCTTTAGCTTAGGTAAAAGAAGCGTTGCTGCAGAGCACAAAAGGAAAGAGAAGCAGAGAAGGAAAAATATATCCAGTTACTACCAGTTTGACTATCAAAATTATTTATTGCTAAGTATATGAAATATATAATGGTACTAGTAGTAATAGACATGCAAAGGAAAAACAAACACAAAACTTTACAATACTACCCTGGTTTCACTAAGTATTTGGGGAAACTTAGCTCAAGCTTAACTAGTACAGTTCAGGTTCAGAAATCTATGCCTAGAGAGAAGAAGAGAAAAGAGAGAGAGAGCGAGAGCTAGGATCTCACCAGTCCGAGGCACTCGGGTTCCAATGCTGACAGGTAACGTTCTTAGCACAATTCTTGAAGGGAGACAATCTGTTTCTTCCAGCTTCTTGAGAACAACAGTGGATGGTGTCAGATAAATTTCTCCTCTTGAAACACACCTTTGCTGCATTTTTAAAGATTTTTATACCCTCAGTTCAGCTTCTTCAAAGCATTCTTTTAATAGTGTAAATAATTGTCTTTTCTATTGACAAGGGGTTATCTGGTTTGGAACATCTCAAGAAACTGATCAACAACCAGGAAAAACATAAGTTTTTAAGGAGTAACCAGACACTTAGAAGCCAGCTTAAAATTCTTATGGATAGCAGATATACTGGATGGGATACCTCATTGTTTCTTCAGAAACAATAGATAGCTTGCAGCGTAAGGGTTTTGTATTTTTACCCGTTGTGAACAAGTCTCAGCTTAGCATGACTTTTCCAGATCTGACTGTAGTCTTAACAGACTTAAGGGGATTACTTGGAGCATTCATAAACTTTGTGGGGAGGACTTACACCAGTCATCCTAGGAAAAGTATGACAGCGTTTGTGGTCAGGGTTCTAACGGGCTGGACGCTGTGATGAACCCTTAACCATAGTTCAAATGTTACCCATACCCCCTTTGACTCGGTCTCTTGCCTCAGCATTCCCTAACCCAGCAACTGAGTTTTAGTCAATCAAGTTTAAATAGGCCTCCCATAGTGGGGCCAGGGAACGTGTGGCCTGAGATGCCTATTAAACTTTACTTCTGCTTCTGTTTAGATGATGTGAGGTGCGTGTGTGTGGGGGGGAGGGTCCTTTGTAAATCCAGATAAAAAGTCTGATAAATGCTGAGTTGGGTGTGTGTAAATGTGGGTTGATTAGCATTTGGAGCACAGATTCCCCATCATGCAGTGTTCCCCTGCTTCTCTGATCCCAGAATTCACTGCGGTCTTTGCTTCGGGCTTTCTGTTCTCCATCTCCCATTTAAATGAGTTGTCATCTGGATCCATCTCAGATGCAAATGAGACCTAGGGCAGTTGCTCCCTTATCTGGAGGGCTTTAGGTGCGTCTCCCACTGCATCTTCATTGTCTTTCATAATCAGTTCTTGTTTAGGTGGGGTGGGGGGAATTCTTTGCAAGTCAGACAGGCCGCATCCTGTGCCAGGCTTCCCCAAGAACATAGAGTTGAGAGGTAACAACACTGTTTAGACTCATTTTGAGCTCGAAACAGCAAAATGGAATTGTTTCAAAGCCCTTTGTTTTAGCCTTGAAACAAAACGAGGCTAGTCGAAACGTCTCGAGTTTCAAAGCCAGCAGTACGGTGGTGGGAGACTGGAGAACCAGGGCCGCGCTCCCAGCAGCATCCAGGAGCGCAGCCCTGGCTGTCCCCATCTCCCACCGCCTGGCTGCAGGAAGCCAAGAGCAGTTCAGGGGAAGAGAATTAAGCCCAGGCTCAGTTCCCCTCCCAAGTCCGGCAATTGGGCTGGTCAAAGGAACTCAGCCCGATGGCTCAGTTCCCCCTCCCCAGCCCTATGATCGAGCTGGGGATGGGAAGTCAGCCCCATCGCAATGGTCAGGCTGGGGAAAGGAATTCAGCCCAGAACCCCAGCCCCGATCATGGGCTGGAGTTGGGAACTGAGTTCCTTTCTCTAGCACAATGGTCGGGCGAAATGTTGAAGCAGCCTCACTGTTTCGACAAAGCGAAATGGAACAGCTGTTTTGACTCGAAATATGAAACAAAACAGTGGCCCGTTCAGACCTCGAAACTCAAGTCAAAATGGAACAGTGCCATTTTGCACAGTCCAAATGGGCTGTTAAGCACTATTATCAATAAGAGGTCAATATAATCAATTTGTGAGGATATGTAAACAGCTGCACCAAAGATAACTTTCTGCTTGTAAATGGGATTGTCATATGTTTTAACTCTGCTCCTATTTACTACATCCATTTTGTGGTTGAAATAACAATCTGACTATTAATAACATTACAGTGATTAAAGTTCTTAACCCACTTAAGCTGCTGGGGCTCATTTTGCAGTGATCCTGTGCATTTTTGCATCAGTCCAAATATATGGTCTGTTAGTAATTACTGAAGCTGGTAGTCTTTAAAAAAAAAAAAAAAAGAAGAAGACGACGACTTGTGAGCAGTTTAAAATGTTAGGATTTATTAATCAGAATTATAAATTTATAAATAATTATAAATTATAATTATAAATTGAGTTTCAAAGGAAGTTCTTTAATGCTAAAATTCATGATCTTCAGGGTTAGACTCTTCTAGTATATCTGCATGTATATGAGGTCTTCTGCCACATATAGGCTGAAATAAGTACAAAATGAGAGAGCATATTTTCAAACTAATATTTGAATTTTTGCAGGTTCATTAGATGTTGGCATCATTTGACTGGTGCAGTGCTAAATATTAAATAGCATAACATAAATTTAATTTTTAACCATGGTATAGATTTAATACCTTTGCAAACTAGAGTAGCATGATGGGGAAACGTTTGCTGTGCTTTGCTACTCATTGAGCCCTTTCACATTCTCAACAGTTCCCTCTAATTCTGTCTCACGCAATCTCTTTACTGTAAAAATACCATATTTACTACAATATAAGACAGTCCCCCAATAATTAGATACTTCTATTCATAGAAAATTTATACATTTGTTATAATTGTCCATGTATAGAATCTAATAATTATTGGAGGGTCGTCTTAAATTTGTGGCCCCCCACTTCCCCTTACCACTGGAGGTGTGCGGGCGGGGGGGACAGGGCGGACAGGTGATGAAGGGTGGCAGTAATGGAGCTGACGGTGAGGGGGACAGACAGTGACAAGTTATGCAGTAGGGCAGGTGGGTGGACAGTAAGGGCAGGCAGTCAGGAAGGCATGCATCTTCCCCGCTTCTACCTGTCCCCCC